GTATTTGTGCACACATGGGGTATGTATCCGTGTTTTTACACATCCACTTATTCACCTCCAAACTATGCATGCATATCTTTCTGGCTCAGTGTACGTGCAGAAGATTGTGTCGATTACAATGAATGCACTCTGATACATTTGTCCCACTGCATGCGTGCCAATTTGCATGAATACGTGTGTGGGAGCTAAGGACAGGAAATGTATAGGTTTAGGTAGTTCCTTTGAAACAAAGGCTTCAGCATCTCCACATGAACCCTTTCCTTTCATAGGCGCCCAAAGGCTCCTGTCCATATCACTGTATCGCTTAAAAGGAAGCATCCCGGAGCTGCCACCCCCACATTTCCTTTCACCCTCTACAGATTGGCCTGACCTACAGTGCATCGCAGTCAAGCAACTTTTATTTATACAAAAACACATTTCAGAGAGAAGCTTTGTTCGACAGGGTGCCTTACTGCTTACTTCAAAATCAAAGGACAAGCACAGCTAGCCATGATCTGGTTTTCCTCAGCTATAATTGCGAGACAATCCACAATTCCGCAGTAACTTCCCAAACTTTTTACTTATATCTCTGGCCTTAGAGTCTTTGATCATATAAACAGTGTCAAATGCATCACTTGCACATTGATTAAACATCTGCATTTTGGTTATTTAAGACATTGTTTGTGATTATTTGTCAATAACACCTACAGATGTAACCTTTTTTTTTTTTTTTTACACAGATAAAGAATAAACAAAAGTAAAATTCCTGGTATTGTTACTCTTCAATTGGTTTGCAATAAGTGTTGTGATGTTGTGATGTGTTTCTGGTCAGCCTCCAATCACCAACACATTTCTAATTAAAGGGTGTGTCTGCTTAGTAAAAGCACAAAGTCTGTCGCAGATTTCTAGTATCCTTGCTCATGCGTCCAGAGGGATCCCACTCTATTGCTTGAATCCCACTCCTCAGAGGAGAAATAAAGCTTTGGAGCAACCCTCATGATGTAGGACCAGAATGATTTCCAGTGCAAGCAAGGAGCCAGGAGCAATCAGTTAAGAGAGGTGGCATGTACATTCTCTGTTTTAGTGCCCCAATTGAAAACTGAGTCATAATTTCCTGATGGCACTGTTCAAAGGTCACCCCCCTTCTCTTTTGCTTTCTTTCTGGGTTCCCTGCCCCTTTCCTCTACTCCCTTTTGGAAGGCCCCTCATCCAAAACGCCCAGCGTTGCATTCCACAGACGGTGGGAGCACCTTCAAACGCTGCACAAGCATAGCAGACCACCACTCGCTGCGGCATGCACGAAGACTGAGCCCTGGCCTCAGCTGCCACCAGGCCTCAGCACTAGGTTCAAACCCTGCCAAGTAGAGCTTTGACTGGGGAGAAATTGCAATGTAGCTGCAATACAGTCTGCATGATGACAAGGAGAAAACAACTGTGTCTGTAAAGGAGCATAGTGATAACTGTCCAGTATTAGCCACCTCCAAGCTGCTGAAACCGGCTCCAAGTAAAACCCCCCTGTGCCACCGTGGGGCCTCTCATGTTGGTGCCGGGAGGCTGGCAGCTGCGATATTGGGGTGCACGCCTCAGAGCACCTTTTCATCTGACCTCCAAATCCTTGAGGTCTCGACTACACTGACACACAGCTACAGTTTCACCCTCCCAAGACTTCCTATGTGCTTGGCTCGCAAAACAATAATGTTCTTGTACACGGTCACATACCACAACATGGCAAATGTACAGTACTTTAATAAACACTCAATTAATCTAACCAACACAAATGAGAAGAATTCCAATCATTACTATCACTCGCACCTTTCCCCCAGTAGCAGAAAAACAGTAAAAGCAGAGAGATCAAAAACATCAGCGTTATCCCTTTTTTACTGCAAAGAACATGAGCAATTTAGTGATTTTGAGAGAGAAAAAAAAAACCAGGTATGTACTGTGCAGAATAATAATGACGTTTTTAAAAAGTCGACTATAATGGTATACTAAACTGAAAGGCATTAAGCCACTGTTTGTCATACAGAATGGTTTACATTAGAACATGCCACAATTTTTTAATTATAATTAGTCTTGGATGCCTTCATCACATTTTAGGTATATATACTTCAGGAATATTATTGCAGAGTATACTGTCAGGGCAAAAATAGTTGGACACATGTTGTTTATTGAGAAAGGTGCAGCCCAGAGCTATATTGTCAGAACTACCTAATGTCAAACTTACATCAGAGACGCACGGACATCCATCTGTTACTTCATAACATGCTCTGCTGTGTGTTGTCTCAATAAGCTGCTGGGTCTTTAGTGGTAGCACTGTGGTGCGCTGGACAGCTGCTGCTTTTAACCTGGAGCACAGACAAAACATTAATGTAAAATGTAGACATAAAGCCAAATATAGTAGCATATTTAACAGATGAGAGAAAAATAGGAATACTGTCTAAGTAAAATCATGTACACTGACATTTGTGTGCATCCTACGTTGTTTAAATTATAGATTTACATACCAATAGAGGGCATCTGCTTTAGGAATGTTTGATCATTTGTATTGCCTGTCAACACATCCTGTAAACAGAATACACTTATGTATATATTTAAAATGAAATACTGGTGTACCATAGTAATGGAGTATATCCTCATTCAAACTAGATGTATGTTGGGCAACTTGCATCAAACAGTGAGTCCTTGAACCCTTTACTACACAGGGAACGTCACTTTCCAACATCACCTCCCCACCCCCACAATCCCAAGAATGTAAAAATAAAATGCAGAAAATATTTTTTTTTTAAGTAAGAATTGTGAGGAATCTACATCCCACAGCAGTCCTGTTTTCATCTGCGTGAACTGAGACAGGTATGTCTCTCCTTTTGGCTGTGCTCCATTGTTAGTTTCCAGTCGTGCCTGTGCGCTGTGATTATCAACGTACACATCTGGATGAACTTAGTCGAGAAATCCTATAAAGAAACTAATGGGCTCTTCAAACATTTTTGAAGACTGATTAAGAGCCGTTTCAGATCTTGTTCACATCAATGAGTTCCATCTGCAAATTATTTAAGTTCTCACTGAATTTGTTATCTGCCTTAAATGCTCCCTTTCAGTGTAAAAGAGGGTTTGGGGGAAATGGAGGGGGGCTTGTATGTTCTGCAGATAATGTGCAACACTGCTGAATATTTGCTTATTGTGCAGGTCAGATGCTTGGATAAACATGGTGGCCTGTTCCATTACTGACAAACTCAGTGTACATGGTAGTCCTGGGTGCTCTGTACTACGGCAGCAACACCAGTTTCAAGAAAAATTGAGACACTATAGGTTAAATTACTGTTCATGCACTGATCAGTTTTGAGATTCTGGGATATTTAGATATCATGTCTTCTTTCAGACTTATGGAAGGAAAACACCTAAAATAAAGGTGGTTTTAAGGTGTTGATTTTACTACATGTTGTGTATTTACGTCAATTTACAACTATAATACATAACTTTGAAGGCCATTTTCTCTTAATGAGTGTTTTCCTCATACTCTCAGATCTCCACTTCAACAACAATCACATTCACCCTTATTCCTATCTATATTACAAAGGGTTTTGTTCATATATCTTTCATACACAACCTGATTTAGAGAACATCTTATGAAAGCATAGCAAAACTGATTATGTTTTAGCTGTTGACAGTATTTTCTTATTGATTGATTGATGAAAAGAGATATTCAAAATTGGTTCTGGAAAAACTTTAACACTAATATGTCACCAAAATAAAACTAAATAACTGAAGCTGGCTTTACCCAATGTTAAGATGTCTGTTCTGGAAATTAGGGCCTTTTAGACATGTAAAAGGTTATCTGCATATTCAAACATAACATTTCAGAAAACCCAAAATACAAGGGGGGAAGTCTTACTGTAAGTAATCAGCTTGGGAGGTTTCATGGGGATATCTACTAGTTAAGAAAATTTTCCTTATTCACATTTAGTCTCTCCTTGAGCTTTTTTCGGGATGCTGAAATGAATTTGGCCTCCTGACAATTTTATTCTCGTGTTTGTAAAACCTTGTTCTCTAGCCGACACTCTACGTTTTGCTTTCTCTTCAGTAAAACTGTAATTTGGAGTCACGCCAGCATGAAAGGCAAATTTACACGCTTGCATATTAGCCTGGTGAAATAGCGAGCAGGCCTCGCTTTTAAGGCCTGTTCGTCTTCCACTAGTATGACCCTTGTGTTTTATAAGGGAGACTAACACCGTGAACTACATTTGTTACAAATTAGGCTTCCTGGAGCCGTAAAGTTGACACCTGCCACTTCAAACCTTTCTTTGGAAATGAGGACGGCCATTGATAGCCGCCAACAAGGAACAGTTGCATCGACAGACGTTAATTAGCAAGTTTAGCTAACTCATGTAGTCAAACAGACTTTATTTGATGCGGTTTGCTTACACACTTTAAGTTAGCTGCTTGCCAGACATTACAATGACACTTCTAGGTTCTCTTACCGTCTGAAACCTCATGTGCTTCAAAGAATCATCAAACAATTCCATTTGCACTGACAAAGCAGAGCTCTAGCACTTACCGCTGCTTCACCACACGATGTCGCCATTTTTAACGTTTCGCGAACATTAATGCTGCATTTTAGTGCTGACCGTAAAGTCGGATTACACATTTTCCGGAATGGTTTTTAAATAATAGAAATGTGAATAGATTATTCCTTCAAAAATGCACTGCTTATAGTGATTAAAGTAGACAGAAGAAAACAATATTTAAAATTATCCTGCGCTTTTTAAGGCCATTTGCTTATAATTACTTGCCCATAGGTTTTTTTTTTTTTAGAAACTTTAGGACCTTCTAATAACTATGTAGTTTGCCATTTATGACTGTTACGGAACCACTGCTTTCAAATGAGTCACTGTACCTAGAAAACCTCTGGAAATAGTATTTGATAATTCGCCTGTTGTTCAAACCGAGAACGAAATCTGAATTCTCCGCCACCACGTGAAGGCACATCAAGTCCGGTAATGACGGCAGCAGCTCCACAGGAACCAAACTTTAGCTAGTAGCCGTAGCTGTAGCATCACAGCTCGACTGTGTCTCTACCTGAAATTGACGCCTTGGGAGGCACGTTATCCAGCATATCACCAATTCCCACGCTGTTATGGAGCTGTAGACAGAATTTATAAACAGAGGTAATAGTATGAAACTAAGTTGTTGTCCTACATGTAAGGGGAAAGCTCACATTTTGAGCTACCGCTATTTGTTTTCCGTAGCAGCTAGCTAGCAACAGTAACACAAGATAAAATGACACGCTTTGAACTGCTGTGAAGATTAAATGCTGTTCTGTTTGTAACTGGATGGGATTAATTGATTACTGTAGTGTGTGACTCAATATTTCATTTTACAATGTGTTGTGTCAAAAGGTGATCGTCTGCCAAAGACAGATTAGCGTCCGTGGGTGCAATTATTCTCATGTCTCTGCATTATTTTACCAGCTCTGTACCCTGCAGTACCAATTTTAGTTGTGTTTTTTACCCGTTGAAATAACTTAAAAGTTAGCAGTTCAACTGATATGATGCTGTTATCCACCTGCCCTGAAGTGTTTCTTACTCCTGCATTGTGAGTGAAATGCTATTATTGCATTACGATGATTTGATTTTATCCACGAGGGTAATATTTTTAAGATTAATGTCCATAGCATAACCGCAGAAGAGATCATTTCTTTATTTCACCACAGACATGGTGTTATATTTACTTGTACCTTATGACTGTCTCAGATACAAGCTACTAGAAACATAACAAGTAGAGCACAATCAGTTTTTGGTACAACCCTTGCTAACAGGTGAACTGTCAGATTATTAAATTAAACCTTAATAAATGGGACAGAAACCAAGTGAAACATGTTGGACTAGAATAAATGAGTTATGAGTTAAATGAGGATACTTGCTGTCGAAGACTAGGCAGAAAGGTTTTCACTATCCCCTTTGTAATCCAAATTGTTTGTCAGGAAAACAAAAAAATAAGCAAGGCCCACCCTGACTTCTTATGTCCTCTTCTGTTTCAGTGTTGAGGAATGGTCTGACTGCAGCAGTCAACATGCACAGTCGTTTGCAGGAGCTGAAGAAGGAGGAGGAGACTCTCCTCAAAATCAAAGTTATGCTACAAGACCAACTGAACAGGTTGAAGGTAAATGCGAGCACAAAAGAGGAGTGTGTTTGTGTATGTGTGCATATCTGTGGTTTATGTATTGTGTCTATTCTGTGTTTCAGTTTGAAGAAGGGGCCTTGAAGTCTATTATTAACGCACAGACAGAAGAAGGTGCCTCTGATCGTTCATCCCCAGACGCTGAGGTAAATCGCTGTAACACAAAGAACAATATACTAGCGTATCTGTCATGTTAAGATAAGCCTAGATAACCTCCCTGACTATATTTATATGCACACAAAAATCAGGTTACTCTGAGTGATGAGGTTAAAACTGTAGCAGTAAACTTGTTCAGGTAAAAGAATCCCTTAATTTATGGGGAATGGTCAAATTATTAGAAGGCACTGACTGCACTTTTAAGGCTGCTTTAGTTGTCCTTGTGTGTTTTTATCCATGCATGTAGGCTTGTTTTTGTGTCATTCAGGAACTCAGAGAGTGAATTATGAGATTATGTGATTAAATAAAAATTATCCATTGTCTACTACACCTAACTTCTTTTGCTCGCATAAGTGATTAATGGTATTTTGTCTCAGCTAGAAAACTGTGGCATTTGCTACTCATCAGAATCCAAAACACGTCTCCTACTGCTCAATTTCAAACAGTTCTGCATGTGCTAGCTAATACTAATGGCTAATTTGCCACTAATAACTTTTAAGTAACGACTTACCCATGAAATATATATTTGTGCACAGTCAGAAGTTGCAACTAAAAGCATCATATAGGTGCCTACAGTTAAAAAACACAAACAAAACATTAAAACAGCTCACAGAAATATACTACCACAAAGAGATTGATGTGTTTTTTTCACTACATACTGTCTCACTTGAGCTTTGTTTTGTATCTTAGTCACGCTATTGCGTAATATTTTACAAAGATTGTCTCCTGTTTTCAGAACACGTTTTAAAATTTTGCCTTGCACACTTAGTTTAGTGCTTTCTAACTTTTATTGTTTGTTTTTATTGTCTCAGGTTCACATTAATCTTGACGATGAGGGCGAGATCAACCGTACCAAACTCCTACTGAATGCCGCTGTAGATTATGACATGGAGGAGGAGGAAGAGGAGGAGGAAGACGACGAGGAAGACGAGGAGGATGATGAAGGAGACGAAAATGAGCTTGAGTTTATGGCTGAGGAGGATGAGGAGGAGGACGATTACTGAGATTGACAGGATGTCAGTAATTGCAGCACTGGGGAAGAACATGAACCACGTGTAAACGGACAGCTGTGTATGTGTTCACCTGTTTTGTATTATCAGTTAAGAAGTTTAATTTATTTGGATGGAGCGAGTAACAGTTACAGTGTAATGATGTGTGGTGCTAGCAGTATCTCTCTCTCCTTTAGCCTGATTTAAGGCATGTCATCAGAATTTCACACCATGTTAGTCATGTGTCAGTTTTTGTGAGAAACATCTCACTTAAACGCAGTAAAGCAGTGCTATTAGGTGCTTATTATATTTTATTAGACATATTGTGCATTTTGGAGACACGACAGAGAGCAGCAGTTCACTTGAGAATCAAAAATCGGATGTTGAGATGTGTGTGTTGATGAAAATGTATGGCTGGGCCATATAAGAAAATAGTGTGTATACATTCTGTGAGAAATTCCTGTAAGCACAAAATAAATGTTTTGCATAAGTTTCACCTGACTGATTTTTTTCATTGTACACATCTAGTTTTATGCCAATATGCTTTTCCAACATACAGCATGTTTACATACGAGCAATAAGGGGACACTGTTGTTGTGTTTCTTTCTCAAATACTAAATTAAGGTAATACCTGTGTTAAATTTGTGTCCTGATCTGACCCAGGCAAATGGGTAATGCAGTGCAAACACTTTCCACTGGAAAACCATTCAGCATTTTCTAAACAGTTAAAACAATACAGTGAGCCTGACAATAAGGCCAGCTTTCACACTGACAGCAGGGACAGCTCTGGAGAAGGGTGGTGCTACAACAGGGAATGTACAATAGAGATTGCACCAATAGATATATTCTGATTTCTACGTGGTCTGCGGTTCCAGGAGAGCTCTTATTCACCTTCAGACCTGGGCTCAGCACACAGACGTGCTGCAAATGCATCCATCATAAGATCCACAGGTAAATGGACCCATAATGATTTTACAGAAGTAATTAAAAATTCATTAATAATTGTAGGAACATTTTTTAGGTTATGTGTTGATACTTTTGCCATATTTCTGATTTCGAATTTTAAATTGCAGTGCATTGTTTTTATTTTCCATTATGCAGCAGTACTTATTACACAATAAGACGGACATTTTTAACATTCTTGTCCAATTATTTATTATCTGAGACAAGCTTGGACAAATACAGCAAATAACATTCATTTACTTTTACATGTCGATTAATGAGGTTTCCTATAATAACATTTGTTTGTGTGGAAAACTTGATCCATTGTCATGTGATTGTGCACTGTAAATATATCAACCTCTCTAACATTAGCTTTGCTTACAGAGGTGAAACCATAGTTTGTATGGGATCTGTCTGCCTCAGCATGATGAGCTTACACTCCATTGAGTTTGAAAAGCGGCATTTGGCTTTGCGTTAGGAACGTGGGACCCCCCAGAGTCCATCACATTGGATGCTTCCAGGCTGCTTGATGACATTTTGTTGTGATTATATTAAGTTTTCTTCTGTTATCAACCTTGACATTTTTTTTTAAAGATACATCTGCAGGCATGTGTGTATTGTTTTGGATGTAACAGCATGTTTGCTCCAGACCATGCATGCGTACACTGAACGGTTCTTGTCTGTGTTTAGACATCAGTGAGGGACTGGAGCAGAACGAGACAGCGACTGTGCTGCAGGCTCAGGAGTACCATGCTGCCCCGCTGTGCAGTCAGTGTGTGCCATGTGCTTATGTTGGTGCTGTGTCTGTCTGCGGCTGAGGACTTCGACTGGACAAAGAACGACCACAGCTCCTTCTATTATGGCACTTTTCCAGCTGGTACACACAATTTGTTCTTTGGGGATAAATACAGAACATTTTATTCCAGTTAAATATTTTAATTCTTTTAACTGGTTCCATTAGTCCTTCTAAATGCTGGTCAGTGTAACTCTACTGATTGTTGCAAGTGTTTGATTTCTCAGGATTTTCGTGGGGTGCCGGAAGTTCAGCCTATCAAACAGAAGGAGCCTGGGACAAAGATGGAAAAGGACTGAGCATCTGGGACGTGTTTAGCCATAAGAAAGGCAAAATCCAACTAAATGAAACCGGGGATTCCTCCTGTGAGGGCTACTACAAAGTAAAGGTGGGGCGATCAGGTGTCTGAGCGACATGGGGAGAGCAGGATTTGGGGTCGTGTGAGGGCACAAAGAAATCTAAATGTTTCACTCTACTATGTGTGTTTTGCTCAGGATGATGTTTCTCTGATGAAGGAGCTGAAGCTTAACCACTATCGTTTCTCCATCTCCTGGCCCAGACTCGTCCCCACTGGCATAAAGTGTGAGTAACTGCTGTTAATTCAATCCAACTGAACTGACATGTGATTTCATTTGTTAACGTCTACACTCTAACACCATCTGTAGCTGAGCATATCAACGAGAAGGGAATACAGCACTATGAGCAACTGATTGACCACCTACTGGAGAACAACATCACTCCCATCGTTACTCTGTACCACTGGGATCTTCCACAGGTTGGTATGCAGAATAGAAACCATCATTTAACTTTAACCTCGATACATTTTCAAATAATCAACTGTATTATTTGCTTTTGTAGGTTTTACAAGAGAAATATGGCGGATGGCAGAATATAAGCATGGTGAACCATTTCAATGAGTTTGCTAACCTGTGCTTTGAAAGATTTGGCAACCGAGTGAAGCACTGGATCACTTTCAACAATCCATGGGTATGTTCTCAATCAATACTTTACATAAAAACTAAATATGCACAGTATTTACCTGTACTGAAAGCATTAATACGCTCCTACAGTCTGTGGCAGTGGAAGGCTATGAAACAGGTGAACACGCTCCAGGACTGAAGCTGAGGGGAACGGGTGCATACAGAGCTGCACATCACATAATTAAGGTATGAAAATGCAAATGTATTTAGTTTAAGTATTAAAGCCACGTAGCAATTAGTGAACACTTTGATCTAAGATGTCAATACCATCTCTTTCATAGGCACACGCCAAAGTTTGGCACACTTACGATACACAGTGGAGGGCCAAACAAAAAGGTAAGCAGGATAAAAGTTTGGGAATTAATTTTGTGGTATCTGATGATTCCACATCATGGGTTTATGATTAGAGTCCCCAGGTCAAAGGTTATATCTGGGTATTGGAATTATGGGCCTTGTAGATTTATGATTGGAGTAATCAGCTTGAAAGTTGCATCTGGAGGGTTGTCACATTATCTAGAGCAGGGGTGTCGAATTCTGGTCCTCGAGGGCCGCAATCCTGCAAGTTTTAGATGTTTCCCTCTTCCAACACACCTGATTCAAATGATCAGCTCATCATCAAGCTCTGCAGAAGCCTGATAACGATCCTGATCATTTGAATCAGGTGGAAGAGGGAAACATCTAAAACTTGCAGGATTGCGGCCCTCGAGGACCAGGATTTGACACCCCTGATCTAGAGGATGTGACTCCCATTAGGACATGAACTATGTGTCCATTGTTTCACGTAAACAACTCCCCTATACAAGCTAGTGGTTAATGTTGGTCTGGAGGGTGATTCTTTTTGGCTTTGAATCCTCTCACAGCCGTCTGAGATATTGTACTTGTTCCAATGAATTATTATAAACCAACAGGACGGTGTCAGCTGAGAATTTCTTCATCATCTTCACATCATCGCTACTCAATAAACAACAATTTACAATCGCTCAATATTGATCGCTCAGCGATATTGTCTATTGAGTGTTGACGGCTGCTGTTCATCTCTGCAGGTCTGGTTGGCATCTCTCTGTCGGGGGACTGGGGAGAACCGGTGGATATCAGCAACCAGAAAGACATTGAAGCAGCTGAGAGATACGTCCAGTTCTACCTGGGCTGGTTTGCCACACCTATCTTTCATGGAGACTACCCTCAAGTGATGAAAGACTTCATTGGTAAGCAAAACTGCAATCTTGAAGTCATATTATTCATCAGGGGATTAACTGAGTGCTATATGTAACCGTGTGTGTGCAGGAAGGAAGAGTGTCCAGCAGGGCCTCGGCGCATCTCGACTGCCCGCGTTTTCCCCCCAGGAGAAGAGCTACATAAAGGGGACCTGCGACTTCCTCGGCGTCGGCCACTTCACCACCCGGTACATCACCCAAAAGACCAACCCATCAGGCCGCAGCAGCAGCAGCTACTTCAGTGACCGCGACCTGGCCGAGCTGGTTGACCCCCGGTGGCCTGACCCTGGATCAGAGTGGCTCTACTCCGTGCCCTGGGGTTTCAGACGTCTGCTCAATTTCGTCAAGGTGACTCGCAGCTCTAGTAACGCAGAGCACACTTGTTGACATGAAATGCACACTGCAGCCTTAATTAAATTGCAACTTATTGCACATCATATTGATTTGTTCCCCATTTAGACTCAGTATGGAAACCCAATGGTTTATGTGACTGAGAACGGAGTCTCGGAGAAGATGCTGTGCACAGAGCTGTGTGACGACTGGAGGATACAGTATTACAAAGACTACATCAATGAGATGCTAAAAGGTGAAGGAACTCTCATGTGTTTTACAAAACATGAAAATGAATGTGCACATTTATTCTGGTCATCTTCTTGTAGTTAAAAGGCTCTCTGTTGTCTGTGCCACTCAGCTATCAAAGACGGAGTCAATGTGAAGGGCTACACTGCATGGTCCCTGCTGGACAAGTTTGAGTGGGATGAAGGCTACTCGGAGAGATTTGGTCTGTACTACGTGGACTTCAGGAACAAAAACAAGCCTCGCTATCCCAAAGCTTCTGTTCAGTTTTACAAACGCATTATCAGCTCCAATGGATTCCCCAATCAAAGAGAGGTGAGAGATAGGACGGTCAGCACAAAGAACTGCTTTCGAGGGTTTTTGAGTAGAACTGCACACATGACGTTTTGTTTTCTGACGTTTATTTGTTGGCTCTGTGGTGCCTAAAAAAAATCCATCTCTGATTAGATATGATTATCTTGTGAACCTCAACAGGTTGAAAACTGGAGGAGGAAGGCTGTTGAGACCTGCTCTTCTAGCAACCAGCTCCTAGCTGCAGGTCAGTTTGTCTTTAACATTATCATCATCATGGCTGTCAGTGATAAGAGGCAAACAGCTAGCTGGGGTAAACAAATAAAGATCCTGATCCAAACGTGACAAAACAGTTAAAACAAAAGTAATTAGAATTTGACTTGACTGTGTCTCTGCTCATCAAGCACAACAAAAAAAAAAAAACATACATGAACAAATCAGTAGTTGTAACCAGAATGATGGAAAAACAAAACCTGGTCATTCAAATCTTGGACAGAATATCTGAGATATCTTCTTTGTTTGCCCCTCCAGCTAGAAGAAAATCCAAGGAACATGCAGAAATGCCAAAGGTTTGGCCAGTGCATGATGAAGTTTAGAAGTTGAGGTTCCTCTTAATGTAATTAGTTTTTTGTTGTTGCTTTGTGACTGTGTGGTTTGAAATCTAACAGTTAGGCTTCTGCAGTTCAACACTAATACAATCAATGCTTGTACTCCTTGTTTACAGTATGCAACAACTTCCTCATTTATCATCATTTTAACCAGCATGCTCTAATCTAATTTGCAAAAAAAGCCCTTTTGATTTGACAGCAGCTTTGGCAAAAACTCAATAAGCATAAAGCCAATGAGTGGACTTTTGCCCTCAGGGTGTTTCACAAAGCAGGATTTTAAATTTAACCAGATAGCATCGCGGCAGTGAAAATGTCATACATTTGAATTGAATTTAAAAATCAAAACTTCAACAGAAGGTTCAGCTGTGCCTGTTGATGGCTCGTCATAATAAATACATTTTTTAGAAGATTAGATTTTGACAGTTATCCACAGTACTTATGCTGCTTTCTGAAATGCTCCGCTGTAGTTGCATGCAGTTCTCAAAGGGTTAAAGTGCCGTTTATCAACTCTGAGTACTTTTTCTTCTTTTATTAGAGGAACAGCGGAGTACTGCTGCCAATATTCTAAGACTTATACATGGTAAGGAATCCCTTGTGCTCACTATAAATCAGATAAAATATGATTTGATTTAGGAAAAAAAAAAAAGGTAACCCTTTGAGTGCTGTGCTTAAGCAGAATTTCTCGCTTCATAAGCAGTGCCTCAATATACAATCCTGTGAGTGAGTTTTTATTGAGTGTATGTGTGTGTGTGTGTGCTTTGCAGACCCTTTGACCAGCCACATGGAGATGGTAACTGAGATCGTTGTTCCCACTGTGTGCACGCTCTCCATTTTGCTCAGTGCCATCTTCCTCATGTTCCTGCTGCGGAGGCGGAACTAGAAAGTGTGCATGTTTACAATCGCAAGCATCAACATACACATACACACACACAATCTGTTCACAAACACACACTCATAACATTAAGTGCATCATTTCTTTAATGGATTAAGTGTGAACATAAATACAATATTTAAACTGAATTTAAAGGGATTTACTATTAATTTGATGTGCATACAGTGTTTAAAGTAAAACCATTTTTTTTAGCCTGTGATAATGATTTTAGTAACAGACGCTCAAACAGTGTGGATACCCCTGAAATTTGTTAGAATTCTTTAGTTAAACATTGCTGTGAAATATTGCCATTGCAAACAACCCATATGATCGACTGTATTTTGTGTTTTCATTTGGATAAAGCTGTTTGAGAGAAAAATTCTTCTGAATCTCCTTCAACTGCCATCGTGAGCAGCAAATGTGACAATAAAGATGTGGTAACCCAAACATATTTACAAAAGACTGACTTTTTTATTGGATACATTTAACAAAAAAAATAAAGCATATTAACAGAAAACCAGAGTACACCTGTAAAATCTAATGCAATTAAATACAACACAGCTCTGCCATGAAATGTACTACTACAAACGTTTGAAGTTTTTGCTGTCAGAAAGGTTTGTTATTGAGGCCATTGTGGGTGGTGGTGACTGTATCACATTGACTGTTCCTGATGCTCTGTCCACCCCTTAAACATACACAAGGGGGGCTCAGCATCAGAAAACATTAGATTTCTCAGGTGTACCTGGTGAGTGAAGGTTCTGATTGCACTTGTGGCTAGTTCTTGTATGTCGTTAAATGCTAATGAGAAAATGGTATGAAAAACACCTCCTTTGTTGTTTTGTTGCGTGCTTCTTAAGTTCATGCGAAGTTGACAAGGCTACAGCACGCCATGGTGGAGAAGAAAGCAGGGTCGTCACTGTCCCCATTCACTGTTTCATTTGGGTAATCTAAACAAAGAAAACAGTTAAAGAAGAAAATGTTATCTGTGCTTTACTGGGTAGGTCCTACTCGTATATTTGGAGCAAGAGTTAAATCTCACCTGTTTCAAAGATGACATGATCAACCAGCGGTCTGTCACTGAGCTGTAAAGCTGTTCTGACCTCACGAGGACCATTACCACTGGACACCTCCACCCCCCACACGACTGGATGCTCTCTGTGGAAGACACACAAACATATGATGAGACAAGAACTCCTTTTTAGTTTTAGTTTAGTTTAGATAGACTCCAGCCCCCCTGCGACCCTAGTGAGGATTAAGCCGTGTATAGATGATGGATGGATGGATGGATATTCAAGAAGATTTTCATGTGCTTTTTAGTCAAGATTAGAGTTTTTCTGGCCTTTGCTTGTTCAGTATTTTTAGGGTCCGAGGACCCTTGCCCTTATTTCTAATTCTATTTAGTGATGCTTTATTTCCTGCTTTTATGAGGTCCTCCTGCAGGTTTGTGACAGTAATACAGGGAGAAATATTGCTTATTCTTCTACCTCAAAGTTCGTTGCGGTACCATGCGTTTTAAAATCATGTAGGATACTTCTAACAATGTTTTTTTCAGCTTCAAGTGTCTTGGAAGTCCTCTTTTAAACCTTTCCTTGTGTGCTATATTGATTTTTTTCTCTTAGCCTTTGAGATAGCACCTTTACCTTTGCCCCGTTTGCTACTCGGTTCCCAAAAGTTAAATTGCATTTTCCAACAACCTGTTAGCCGTACATACCAGTAAGTGTTTTCAACAAACGCAGAAAACTGTTCAGCAACATGATGCAGCAATCCTGAAACAATCCTCAAACTCTCTCTTCCACATTTTCATTACTGATTTGATTATGACACACCTACAAATGTTATTTGTTGTAGAAATGGTTTAGCATCCAGTGCACGGCATACTGACTTAACAAATTTGACTGCAGCTGTATCACTAGATGATCTGACCACAAGAAGGCAGCGCTACATACTGGGTTTGACTCACTTATGCCACAGAAGCTGAGCAGAGATGTGTGACCACATTAGAAAACTGTGTGAAAGCAAATTTCACACATTTTACACAATATGGAACAAACCTAAAGAACAGAGCTGAATTCAGCTTCGGTCAAATGACTTCACTTCTTTCTCTAGTTCGCAGTGAAACACAAATATTCCTCTGAACAATTGCGGAATTGACATCTCATATAAAATCCACTCTGAATGCGAAGAAGTGACATCCAAACACAAAAATCCAACCTTCTGCTTCATCTTTTCAACACTTCTCAGGGTAAACAATGTACAAATGTGACTTAAAAATGAATAAAAGGGCAAATATCTCAGTTTCATTTACAGTTTTGCTACAGACATAACGAAGCAGTTCGCGTGCAAAGGATTGAATTTCTTACTTCTGGTAGAAATGGCTGATCAGGGCAGGTTTGATTTGGAGTTTGAACTCATGCTCCTCATCATATGGTGATGTTTTGTAGTGCTGCAAACATGATCTATGAGAAAGGAAAAGATATGTTAAAAAAAATGTTACATTTTCAGTGTCAGCTTGAGATGAGAATATTTTGCACACTTTTACATGAGTGGAAAGAGTCAAGGGGTTTACTGTGTGAGAAGGAAGAGCCGGTCGTAGGGCAAAGCCAAGAATGTGCTGCAGGTCACGATTATTTCCAGCAGATGGTGCAGTTTTCTCAGTCGGACCACTTGTTCCTGCAGATCAACCTCTGTGCTCAGGTAATAACACTGCGGAAAATATTACTTAAATTCAGTACTTTGTTCACGGATATGTAAAAATATTTGTCATTAGAATAGTGTCAAGCTCACCAAGTGGTTCAGAGTTGTCAATTCTTCACCTGAGAAACACACAAACAAAAAAAAGATTGCAAATAGTCTATTAAATGGAAACAAATGTCAGTTTTGTCTTGATTTACGTGGTGTCAAATATACACTACTACACAAGCATAATCATGTGCAAGTGACAGAGTAATACTTCAGAGGAGTCATTTTAAAAACGTTACCAATTAGGTAGTTAATGTAATCTTTTCTCATCTTGTCCAGACCCATCTCTAGAAGCATGTTGACAGGGGTGACGCCTGTAAGGGACACGTGATCGATCTGCTGGTGGTAGCACTGCAGAATGAGCTTGCTGAGGGAGCTGCTGCTGTCTCTGTGAATCTGGGACAAAACAAAACAAAAAAAACCTCACACTCAATTAAGTCCAATATTTTGTTTGGGATGAACAGTTTTCAAAGGCCGCATCATTCCATACCCAGGGTTTGATGTCGCCGTATCTTAGAGCTTCAGTGACCAACTTCAGACAGTCTCCAATGTCCTGATAAGAAGTCACGCCTGTAATGGAAAAGGAATCCGAGAAAAATGGTCGCCACAGTCTGTTTGTAATGGAAACTCAGAAAAAAAAAGCTAGCTTCCTTAATAGAGAAATTAACTCACTTTTTCTCATCCGAACCCACAGCTGCTCCACGAAATCCAAATCGCCTCTCTCCAAGAAAGAGTTGAAAATGGGAGTGTCCGTCTCAGATTTCAGCTTTGTGGTCTTTAGAGATGGAAAGAAAAGAGGAAGACGAAAAAAAAAATAACTTTCAGACATGCTCTGAAATAAATGCATTTGTTGAAAGGTTGTTGCTTTTCTTGCTATCATACCTCTGCGGTTTTTGCAGCCTGATCTTGAAGTGTTTTTGCAGTGTTCTGAAGCTCTGAAAGAAGTTTTAAAAAAAAACCACAACAAAACATAAAATAATCTTACCAATCGTACAGTACTGCATCATAATTAAAGTTTATTTATTTAACAATGCAGATACCTTCTAGGTAAGCCTTGGTCAGATTTACAGCAGATGTGCTTTCCAAAGGTTCCATCCATTCAGTCTCACCAGTTCTCAAACCATCAGCAAGAGTCTGAAATAACAGGAATCTGATATATTTTTCTATTCAAGTCTTGATAGTTAAACTCATCTGAGATTACACACACACACACAAACCTGAAGAAACTCGAGCTCCCTGTACATCTCAAACATTGGACTTCTCATGTCTCCACTGGCAACTTTGATATTCTGCATGTGAACAAAGATAAACAAGTTAAGAATCACAGTTTGTGCAGTATTATACATCCTCTACTCTCTGACTGATTAACTGTGTTATCCCAAAAAACGCACTACTTCAATTTATACATTAGACTTGTAAAATTTGAAAAACATAATTTAAACACTGTTTGAATGATTACTGCTTACAAGTGTTGCTGTGGAAGACAGGGGTGGGATCTCAAGGATGCTCTCCACATGGCTCCATTTGAAATCCACTGTCACACTACTCTGTGACTCAATCATTGTGTTTTCAACAATAGTGGAACCAAACAAGTTGAATCTGGCATTGCCTTTGATCCCCATCTGAAAGTATTAACATATATAAGTGAACAAACATACAATCATACTGACTTGCAAGAGAAGACGGACTCTCACTTACTGAGGACGGGTGATGCCTTTTCTTATGCTCTTTTTTGAGTTCCTCTAAAGTGATGAGAGATCTTTTGTCCACAGTTGAACCTAACAACATTAAGGTTTGGGGGGCGGACAAGATGGACAAATTTTAAAGGTGCACAAGAGTTGATAACCAATATGTTTTATAATGTTTTAGGGATGAGATGTCTAAGGTATACCTTTGCAGGTAACAGAGTATAGCTTAACACCAGCTACTTTACTGCCCACACAGACTGTTTCAGCTCCTAACCAGGTTGTTCCAGCTGGATCAGACATGTCACATCGCACCCACAGAGGGTGCAAGGCAGGGTTGTTGTCCACAGCTGACACATTAGCATTTTGAGATAATGTATAAAAAGACAGCAACTGCCTGTACAAAAACAAAAAAACAACCATTTGATTGTCAGGTATGGCATATTACACACTCTGATTGTATAATCCTATTAGCATGTGCTTCATTTGGATGACCTGTTAAACATCTTAGCATTTGTCACCTTGCTTTCATGATTGTGAGCGGCTGCGGTCCTAGTTCTGTGTGGAGTACACTGGCACTAACAGCCTCAGCCTCATCCTCATCCTCATCCTCATCCTCATCCTCATCATCAGCACAGTTCGATGTCTCAGTCATTGGTTCATCATCTGGCTCACATATTTTAGGAATCTGGTGAAAGCGAAACATGGTTCAGTAGTCAGCACTCGAGAGGGGTTAAAGTCAAGTCAACTAAAAATCACAGCTAGAGTGTTCTGATTCCTGTTAATGCTATTAATGTGCACCATCACATGTCAATATTATTATATCAAAAAATCATAAGCATCTGATGTATGAAAAAATAACATTCCCGAATAAACCACAGACCTCTAAAATGCAAATGTGTTTATTTGGTCAATTTGCATTTTTGTCCGGGGATCCAGACATTCTCAGTGTCTTTAATGAGCTACAAACAGGATTTAACATTACTCACAACTTTTTCACAGATGAAGACTGTCTGGTCGCCACAGTACATATTCACCGCAGCAATTCTGTCTCCGTTCGTTTTCAATATTTGGATGTCCTCCTGAAACCCAGAAGTTATCAACATCACTACTACAACACTGAGGGAAACATTAAATTATAACATTCATTTAGGGAAAATGAAATCACCTCATATATATGTGGATCACTGCCTTTCTCACCTTGAAGAGATCTGGAACAAACACAACAGGAATTAACTTTGCCTCAGGAAGATAAGTAGTTAGTTGCGACTGAAGCATTGAGAAACTGAACACGAGATGAAGGCTAACAGATGATCCGTCAGCTATTGGCTTTCTAGCATTAACTCGATGTTAACGTTAGCTAAAAGAGTGAATGTTAGAGACGCCTTTGCATCCAAAACTCACCGAAGAATGTTGAAAAAGTCCTTCGCTCTAGATATCACCTTTGAACCCATCGCTAAATTATGCTACGAGTCTCCGTTTATAGAGCAAAGTAAGTAAATTATACACAAGAAGTTAACAGACCGAACAGATTTTGAGCTGCTGTTGATATTTTGACAGTCGCGCGCTCACTCAGACGGTGACGACACGAGTTCATAGGTCATCACATATCGCTATCATTTTACATAAAATAATGAATAAATACGATTATAAGGTGTATGAATAATCTTCCACACGTGGGAAAATAAATATTAAAAATGAATAATATTTTATTTTTTTTTAAAACATTCAGAAAGAAAGTAGTTCGGTTTTACCCCTGCGCCAACACAGAGTAAAGAAATAGTACCAAATGCAGCAACCGACTTTAAAGTGGCTTTGTTTTCCCTCGACGGTTTGATTAAGCCTATTAAACAGTTGTTTACATTCATTCAAGCTTTATCGTTTCTTTGAGATGAAGTAAAGAAGTAGTCAAAGTAATGTCGCTAGCGGAAGTTGAACACTTGGGGCGGAGGCATAAACCATCAGGGGTGACTTACCAACTTCCTTTTTACTGTGGCCGCCATAGCGTGTGGAGCGTGGTGTCGGCGAGCCGAAAACTAAATCCCGAAAATGGTGAGAAATTACACTCATATCATTGTCAGAGTTATTGTATATAGCACGCAGTTGTTTCATTCAGCGTACTTACCGAATAAGCTCGTATTTTCTGTCTGTGGAAAGCGCAAATTGAGGTTTCATCGAGCAGTGAGTTGAAATGCTGCCGGCTAGCGAAGCTAACACGAGGAGCCATTTTGGACGAGCAACCTGAGTAGTTCAACCCAGTTACACGTGTAGCTGTCGCCTTACTATTAGACCACTTACCAGATGTCGTTTGGGTTCGTGGCAGCTGCATTGTATTCGCAATAGACGTACATTGTGAAATCGTCATGTTCGTTCTAAATAGGACTGTGGTCGATTACGGTAAGTGTACAAGGTAACGTTAAGCTTTTTGAGTCATGTTAGCAGGAACAAGCTAAGCTAAGGCCGAGTGCCGCAGATTTCACGGTAGCCTGACGAACAGCTACTTTAATCGTGTGAGTTAAATGTGAAGTTAACTTAAATCAAAGTAGTTTCACCGAGTTGCATCATAGTGTCTTTGAAGTTAGCGTTTTTTTCTGCCGTCACATGCAAGAAGATGCAAAGGCTTGAGATCTAAACCAGGCGCATTATTCTCAGGAGCATAACCCCTGTTGTGTTGCATGTATTGCCATTTCAGATTCATTATCATGCGCTTCACCGACGGTTAATGTTCATTTTGCTTCCTTAGGCCTGTGCCCGACCCCTCATCTCGGTGTATTCCGAGAAAGGAGAATCCTCAGGCAAAAATGTTGTGATTCCTGCCGTGTTCAAGGCACCAATTCGCCCCGATGTGGTGAATTTTGTGCACACCAACATGCGCAAGAACAGTCGCCAGCCATATGCAGTCAGCGAACTGGCCGGTGAGTGTCTATTGATCAAGTTTTCCTTAATGATTGTATGATTTATTTATTTATTTTCAAATGTGGTAGATACATTTGTGTACACAAATCAATCCGTGTTTTCTATAATTTTGTTAATGTAATTGTGTGTATCTTTTAGGCCACCAGACCAGTGCGGAGTCCTGGGGTACAGGAAGAGCTGTGGCCCGTATCCCTCGTGTGAGAGGTGGTGGTACTCACCGCTCTGGCCAGGGTGCTTTTGGAAATGTATCTTTTTTTAAATCAGAATTTTAGTTTTATAAATTGTTAGCCTTCTGTAATCTGAATGTGAAGAAACATCTTAATCTGTAGACTTGCTGTGATGGTGTAATTTGCGTCTGACTCTGTGTCCAGTGACAGTATGCCTGCTGTCATATGCTGGCACAGATGGCTGATGACTATTGAGTCTGAGCAGGTATGAAATACTTTAGAACCTGTGTTACTGCATTCAATGGGAAACCTCCTTGACTTTGGTGTAGATGTGTCGTGGTGGTCGCATGTTTGCCCCCACTAAAACCTGGCGCCGCTGGCACCGCAGGATCAACACACCCCAGAAGCGTTATGCCATCTGCTCTGCCCTGGCCGCCTCTGCCATTCCTGCACTTGTGATGTCCAAAGGTGAGCTCCAAAAACTAATTGTAGGACAAACGTGGATATAAAATTGTTATTAGGTGTTAATCTTTTAACATTACTATTAAAATCTCAGCCTGGTTGAACTTTGCCTAACTTTTGACTTGCCATGATGGTGTAATTTGCGTCTGAGCCTGTGAACAGTGACAGTTGCCTGCTGTCTTTAAGCTGTCACAGAGCATTGATGTGTATTAAATTCTGAGCAAGCTTAGGGAACATGAACTTAGATTGTCAAGGCAAGTTTGTCCGTCTTTGGTTGACGTTATGGTCTTGTCTCTTAGGACATCGCATTGAGGAAATCCCTGAGGTCCCACTGGTGGTTGAAGACAAAGTTGAGGGATACAAGAAGACCAAGGAGGCAGTGCTCCTGCTAAAGAAACTTAAAGCCTGGAATGACATCAAGAAGGTAAATGAAATGTTATGCACGTTCCGCTGACAGCAGTCATTTTTTTCTGGCGTTTCTAAATTGAGGGTCAAATCGGTGTGGTTTTGAAAAGGCCAATATCACAGATTTACCTCAAGGGTCTTACAGCTTACAATACATTCTCTCCTTAGATCACAGAAGCTTTGTATGTTGATGTGCTGACTTGAGGTTACAAATGTTTGATGTTTACACACACACACACACACATATATATATATATGGCGAGTATAGGGAGTCACACATAGTCTTGTCAGTTTTTTAGGGAACTGAAATCAAAACAACCTTAAGATAGTACACCACTCAATGAGCAAGGCCTAAATTAACATCTGATATCCAATTTGTTTGTTTGCAGAGTGTAGCATTAAATGCTCAGACTAGACTTGTTACCTTCTGTGGGATAATTGGGAACAATTTCTTTGATTGCAGCTTAAATGTAGTTTATGACACATTTGTGTTATTTCGTTTTTTTGGCATATTAGATTAATATGTATTTTCTGTTCTCAGGTGTACGCCTCTCAGCGCATGCGTGCTGGTAAGGGTAAGATGAGGAATCGCAGACGGATCCAGCGCAGAGGTCCATGCATCATCTACAGCCAAGACGCCGGTTTAACTAAAGCCTTCAGAAATATTCCAGGTGAATAAACTGTTAAATTTAGCAGAATTTTTACAATTAATTATGGAAGATAAAAGGATATCGTACCATTATCTTGAATCTATTCATATTTAATATCTAGCGTTAAGTCTCAAAATGTATTGTCGTTTAGACCCCAGTCATTGAATTCTGCATTTACGCAGGTATCAAAGTTCTGTTTTATGAATTTGTCTTGGATGTTGCTGTGTTTTGAATGTTGTTATTCATAGTTTTAAATATTAAAATGATTTTGTTAGAACTGAAAGACCTTCTAAGCTCAAGATGATGTACTTGTCAGTCTGCAAATGTTTAGACTCTGCTGTACTATGCAGGCATCACTCTGCAGAACGTGAACAAACTGAACCTCCTGAGACTCGCTCCTGGTGGTCATGTTGGACGCTTCTGCATCTGGACTGAGAGTGCTTTCCGCAAGTTGGATGAACTGTACGGCACTTGGCGTAAACCTTCCTCCCTGAAGGTTGACTACAAGTGAGTATTTCAAGAGCATGCACTGTGTAGCACAAGCACATTATACGTCTGTGTATGTCAGTGATGAGCTTCCACTTCATGGTCCGTGTTTTTGAACTCTGTGATATTTACCGAAGTTCTGAGTTTGAGCACCACAAGAGTAGTCGAGTTGCCACTTTTGTTTCTGTTTTGTGTGGGACTTCAATCCTTGATGTTTCCTGTTTCAGCCTCCCAATGCACAAGATGACCAACACAGATCTGAGCAGAATTCTGAAGAGTGAGGAGATCCAGAGAGCACTCCGTGCACCTAAGTAAGCATGGTTCATATTATAGTACTTGATCTTGTTTCATCTCATCAACCATGATGATGTTCCACTTCAGGTCCGTGTTTCTGAACCCTGATTATTTGGAAGTCCTGAGTAATGCAAACAATTTGTCACAGAAGTTGCAGATTAGCAGAGGTTCCTATAACTAAAGCTATATATGTTATATTGTCATTACAGCAAGAAGATCAACCGCAGAGTCCTGAAGAAGAATCCTCTGAAGAACCTGAAGATCATGCTCAAACTGAACCCTTACGCCAAAACAGCAAGACGTCATGCCATCCTTAAGCATGACCCTGCGGTAAGAAACTAAATGGTTTAACATGAAAGTAAAAATAGTATATTTAATTGCAGATGATGACTTGGAACTCTTGTTTGGTCTCTTTATAGATCAAGGCCAAGATGCTGAAACCCAAGAAGAGGCCTGGCAAGAAGAAGGGAGCTCCTAAGAAAGCAGCAGCAGCTGCTAAACCCCAGGCATAAATCCATACATACAGACAGACTGGAGTCCAGAGACAAATAAAATGAGTTGTTTGAAATGCATGAGTCAGATCTGTCATTTAAATATTTTAATTCACAAGACTAATTTATGTCACGTAAGCTAACAAAGATTTTAATCTTTTGGCGCTGTAAGGACTCGGGTAAAGAGGAATATCAAGCACACAGGTTGAGCAGCATTCGTTGTGATTAAATAGTTTGATCATTAGAAAAAGATGGCTTTTCAAGCAGGCCTGCATGGTAGCCCAAAGAAGTGTTTGATATATAATTTCACTTGGCATGTAGGTTTGTACACTAAATATACAACTATTGATTGCACAACTTTTTTTTTTTTAACCATTGCGTATAAACGTACATTTTCAGTAATACAAATTGTCATCAGAGGACCTTGTGATATGGACTGTCGCAGAGGCAACGTCTCACATTGCGGTGCCATGGGTGGGAGTCACAGGCTGACTGAGTCCGATGGTGCTGCACAACCAGCCTGCAAAGTCAACCTCCTCTGCCTCGGACTGTTTGATGAAAGAATGCACCTGAGAAGGAAAAGTTAAAGATGCTTAGAGATGATGAGGAACTTAGACAATGAGAATTATGTCATGTGCACACACCCACCATCAACTGTTTCAAGTCTGCTCTCTCTGCAGGATTCTTGATCAAACTGGGGGGGAAAGAAAACGCCTTAGATTGTGCAATTCATTGAAGCACCACCAGGTGGCACAAAGTGGTTTCATGCCAGTAAACGTGGACAAAAACAAACACTTCTACATACCATTTGTTCACAAAGTCTTGAAAGTCTGAGCTAAATATCCCAGGCAGCTTCGGTGGAGGCTGGAAAGTAGAAGTCTAGTTAGCACTGAATAGATTAATTGCCATTAAAGTGCAGCTGAAGACACAAGGATCACTAACACCTGTTATTGTGTCAGAATGTGTGACTTTTTGCAGAAACCTACCTCATTAACTATGTAATCAAGCAGCTCAAATATAGCCATTGGAGGTCTGCTGTCTGGGCCATATGCTAAAAGAATGAAACAAAATAATAGCATCATTCACCCCTACTCATAATTCAAGATGAAAAAAGCTATTTTATTAAACTATTTCAACACATATTTTGAAATAAGATAAAGATTAAGCTGCTGTAAAATCGAAAGTCCCCCTTCAGAATTACAGAGTGAACCAGTGCCATCTCAGACTTACAGCTGCCAGGTCGTCCAGGAGGCCGTGGCTTTGGGGAGGACTCGCTGGAGGCTGCTTCTCCTTCCACTGGGAAACCAAATATCTGTTCCAGCTCCTTAGAATCCGGTGGTGGGATAGGAAAGCGTCCAATAGCCATTTCAACCAGGGACAGGCCCATGCTCCAGATGTCGGACTGAACAGAGTAGTGGGTGCCCTGCAAACGCTCCGGCTTCATAACACACACAGAAAGTTTCATCAGTACAGCCGTTACCGATTTATATAAAAATTATGAAAGAGCAGATAAATGAGATCCAGTTGCTTTATAAATATAAATGTGAGCCTTAAATTGTTGCAGAAATTTCAAAGCTTACTGTGTAAGTAAGTACTGCGTGAGAGGCGGAGTGTTTCCACTTTAACTCACCGACATGTAAGAGCGAGTGCCCACAAAGGAGTTGGCCATGGAGTCTATGAGCTGTCCGCTCACTCCAAAGTCACACAGCTTGATCTCGCCACGGGAATTCACTAGGATGTTAGAAGGCTTGACATCTGAAAGGGAGGGACATGCAGCGTTTAGGAGAACACAGTGGGCAAGTGTTCAACAGGGAACAGTAAGCAGCACAGAACAAATTGCTACAGGCATGTTGTGCTGCTTGTGCTTGTCGACTTTAACATTCTCTGACCTCGTACTTTTGTACTACACAAAGTAAATAAATGGGACAACTTTGAGGTGGAGGTCAAAACTCTGCTTCCAATTATTGATGCAGATATTGTTATTACAGGACGGGTTCTTCTTTGTTCAAGTTTGTCTTAAAACTCGAACATGGTGGCGTGTTTACTTGCTGTAATTCCGCCAGTTTCCATTGTTGTGCCACAACATTAAAACCACTGAGATGACACTATTATCATGTGTAAAATCGAATGTTCTGCTGGGAAACCTTGGGTCCTGGCATTCATGTAGATGTTCCTTTGACATGTAGTGCCCAGTTCAACACTGTCAAGGTACCAAACACCAAAGAACACCCCCAGGGGTCCCACGCCTATACCCGGACGGGTCAGAGCTGTTTTGGTCACATGAGAGTGTCCTACACAATATTAGGCAAGTGGTTTTAATGTTATGGCTCATAAGTGTAAACTGTCTAGTACTAGATCCATCCAAAATGTACTTTCAGTGTAAACAATAAAACACTGTCCAGGGAAACAGAAACTGATTTCACAAAGCCTGAACAGTTCAGAGACATTGATAAAACCCTCGTTTTAGCTTCAGATTACCTCTGGGTTTTGCCTCCCTCCCAAGATACAAAGGGATCTTTTAATGGGTAGAAATGGCAGGTAACTGTGTTTTTTTAAGTTCATGCAAATAGAACAAATCTCTACTTAATTGTGACATATTTGAGTACATGAAATAGTGGCTGACCTCTGTGCATGATCTTGTGCTTCTCCCGCAGGTAGGACAGCCCTTTAATGACCTGTGAAGACAAATATTGCATATTTGCACAGTTAGTGCTGCAAAAATAAACATTCTTCCAGTACATATTCATCAGCAATGAACCCAGTTTTATGTAGATGAAATATAGCTGTAGTGTAAGTGCATGAAGCAGGAGGGAGAGGTGTTGCGGCTACCCACAGCGATGCTGACTTTGCCAAGGATCTGCTCTGGGATCTTGCCTGCTTTCTTTAGCGACTGGTCCAGGGAGCCGCCATCCTACAGCCAGAAAACACAGAGTATTTACAGGTTTAAAATATCATCTGCATAACACAACTCATTTACACAAAATGAGTTTGTTTTCTTAGCAACTGGGTTGTATAAGGAAGAAAAAGTGCTTTGTTCTTTGAGCACAGTCTGTTAAAGTGATACTCAGAGGTAAAGTTATGGAAAAACACCAGCAGGCATGACATTTAAGAGCTTGTACCATATGCTCCATGCAGATGCTGATTTCTCCATCGCTGTAAAAAGCTCCATAGAAGCCCACGATGTACGGGGAGTTGCACTCGTGTAGCACCTGCAGCTCTCTAATGATCTGGTTTCTGATGGCGGGTTTAATCTCCAGGTGGATCAGCTGGAACACAGGAGACCTCAGGTTTTTATTTATGCTCCAATATAACACAGGAGATAAATGCTACAATACAATCTTGCTTTTGGACATCTGTGCACACACACGCATACACACACAAGACCATTAGATACTATACATGCATGTTCAGATCAAACATTAGCATAAAGACAAGTGTGTTAGGATGGATGCTTGTTTGGGTCAGCTTTTCAAACTAAGCAAGCCAAGTGAGGATATCTAATAAAAGCACTTGAATTGTGGGACGGACCGTTGTCCCAGTAACCCACATTTGAGGTTGTGCACAAATCCTGGAAATTGAGAAACATTTAACTCTGTGCTCTAAAAACAGCACTGATGCCTGTATGCATGAATGCCTCTCTGACATACTGGAGAATAAAACTCCACTATGGAAAACGTAATTAACTACAGTCCTCTAATAAACACTAGACACGGTTTAGTGTGACTGACTTTCTGAATATAAAAATAGCTTCATTAACACAGCACCAGGCAGCTGCAGCTCACCTTCCTCGCCATTATCAGGCCAGAGGGTCGGTGGGAGACCTTAAAGACGACTCCTCCATTGCCTGCACCGAGCTCGCAGATCTTCTCAAAGTCATCGTCCTTCAGCTCTCCCACCTTCTGCTTCTGTGTCAGAAAGGCCTCCAGGCGTTTCCGCTGCTGCTCATCCAACTCGAGCTCTTCTAGTTTTTTCTGCAGTGCCTCCAAGTTTGTCCTAATAAAGAGCAAGAACAAGGAAAGACAGAGAGAAACAAAGGTACATTTTGTATTATTCATGTATTGTTCCCTCAATAAAAGGTACTCGAATCCATTCAGACATAACTTTTTGCAGATGTTCCATACTGAACTACCAGCTCTCCTCTCAGGAGACACCAGGCAGTCCACTGTGCATCAAGATCTACTGCTTGTATTATATTATCCTCAGACAGAGCTCGGTGTGCGACAGCTACAACTGCACATGTCTCTAGGAACAATGAAAACCAAACAATAGGCCCGCAGGAAGACAAAATGCGTTGCTGGGTGTGTTTCGGCGTTTCTTTCAAGACACCGATGTGAGGAAGCTCGAGGTTCCTCTTGAGTGCTGACAGCGCTCCCCGGGAGCTGTTGTCATGGTGATGCATTTCCTTGAGAAGTTAATTGTAGAGTGAACTCTGCTGACCTGCAGCTCCTTGACCTCCAACTCCACCATCTCAAAACACGGTCCACATTACTACACAAGGCACATCTGAGCTTTAATCAAGAAATAATGAGACGTGAAGACCAGTGAGTTGTTATGCCAATTCAACCAATCTGTTGCTCTGTGAAATTATATAAATGTAAATGTCTGCCAATCATCAAAGAATCCAACACAAGCATGCATGATTTCTGGTTAAGGATATTTCTTATTTCTGCAATGCTCTGCATGTGAGCTTGCAGTGTTCGAACAACAAAGCTGATCCATCCTCAGCTACTCTTGTAGCTACAAGTCTAAGTGCATATCTGGTGATAAGATAGTTTTCATTAAGCTTCGTGGTAATTATGATTTTCTTTTATCTTTGTACTTAATCATGACTCGCTGGAGAGCAGCCAGAGCAGGGCAGAACGCTCCTCTCTTCACACAGCACTGTCGCAGCAAAGAGAGGGTTAAGTGGTTTTATTTTTGATAGCAGGCCTGCATATCCATGGAGACGAGGTGCTGAGTTTGAGCTGGCTGTGGGCGGCGTGGGCGTTCTGTCGACAAGAGCTGGAGGTGGAGGAGGCTGGAGATTCTGAGAAGAGGAGCAGCCTGAAATGTACTACACACAATATGTGGGAGGGACTACAGTAGCTGCACACTGCAGCCTCCCTCCCCCCCCCACACACACACACAGGTGCAGGAAGAAGTGAGCACGACGCTGGCCTTCTGAGCTCCATCCACACAATGTCCAAGGACATGCAGCACAACTTGTATGTAAGAAACACAATATCTCTGCAGATTGCTAAAAGAAAGAAGAATGGACTAGTGAGGCACACATTTATCAGAACCAGGAGCTGCCTAGATCAACTCTCTACTTCAACTTTTTACAAAATAAAACTTATTTGATTTTTTGCAAAGAACAGTATATCATAGTAAATCTGAAATTCGATGAAAATACAACCTTTTTTGTCTTTGAATCTGGAGTAAATGTACTGTTCTCTTTTTCTGTGTAAATTATGGCACGGGTCAAACCTACACCACGGATTACAGTGGACTCAAGGTGCATGATTGGTTCATTATCAGACAACAAGGAATATAAGGGTCAGTTATTGAGGGTCTATTTAAAAAAGAAAAAAAAAAAGATTAATTGTTCCTTGTCTTTTTTTAAGTTTCAAAAACTTCGCACTGAAGTTACATTTTTATTATCTTCAATGATTTTCAAACTCAAAACAAAACGCACAAAAAGTACAATTTACACAGAAGGCAAGATTTGCTTTGTGAGAGGAAACTATTTCTTTTCCAATCTAGCAGGCGTCTGAACACAACACATTCCTTTGTGGTAAAACAGGACACAGTAAAAAACCTGAGCCACAATCTTCGGTTGCTGTGTAGATTAATCATTAATTTCCTTTTCATACATTCACAAGCACACTTAGATCCTTAGATGTGTGTTCACCTGTGAACGTGCACATCATATGTGGTGATATTAATAAAAATGGACGGGTCTCTAAACCAACAAGTCTGTACAGAGGAATGAACGGCACAGTTTGAATATTAAAGCCTGAAATATTTCTTTAAAAAAAAACAGACAGATCCTGTAAAACTGGACTTATGTGATGGCATAATCTTACCCACGATTTCAGCCAACAGCAAATAGTTTGAACAGGTCTATCCGGAGCAGGTTGTTTTTATTTGTTCTCAGATCTCCTCTGATAATATTCCATGCTTGGCTGGCATCATGTGGGCCACTCAGCACAGCTCTCTGATGGCCGCCAGCCATTTCACGCTGAGAAAGCATTTGGCGGGTTGGGATGGCAATTCTTTTTCACCAGAGTGCAATGGTCTGGTTTCAGTAAGAGGTTCATCGATTGGATTAAGCTCATCCACGACCATTATACAACACATTTGCTCTCTAGTGTCAGCATCCCCTCATCCCGTGTCCTGGTGCAAATGACCCCAAATAACGTGCCAATTTGAATGTGTGTCGTGAAATACGATCCCTTTTTCCTCTTTTCTATTCAAAACAACTGGCTGGGTTTTCCCAGCTTCAGCTACAATATTGATACTTGACTATGATACTAGATATGCAGAATTACTGTTATCTAACATTCTTATGTGGTATATTTTCAGACACGAACATAAATCATAGATATATATTTAAAATGATTGATGGCTGATTTAAATGTAGCTGTTTGATTTCAGGGCTCTGGTATCGTGCACACAGGCTCAATTTTTACTACTTACGAGGGCATTTAAATAGAGCAAAGCCATCATTAAGGTTAATATATCAATAACAGCTGTGCTTTTTACTACTGTAACAAGTCAAACTGTCTGCTGCGAAAAAAGGCCAAATGCACGAAGCTACGCTGAGGATCAAATGAGGTCATCAAACTCTCAGCACACATTATTCATCATTAAGTGCAAGTGTATTGAAATGGCTGGATTCCACTCAGGGAAGGCTCTGTTATTCTGTTATGCTAGTCCGCTGTCATGGCTTACTGGGACATTTTAAGGAACTGAGCCGTCATTAATGTTATTAACTCCACCTGTATGACAGAGATGTAAGCTGAGAGGAGGTCTAATCAGCCACCTCTGGAGATAAAGCACTGCTGTGGGGGGCCTTTCAAGACCTCTTTTGGTGAAAGTCAGGGTTTTTTTTTAACCTTCTTAACATATTCATATGATGTCTTTTTTACATGCTGGAGGACACATGGGGAGCGAAAAAAAAAAGCATTCAACGGCTTGGCACGACATTTCCATCTAGATGCTACAGTGAACAGATGACCGTCTGTGTAGTGCAAAGTGGTTTTACAGCATTTGAGCAGAATTTTAGGTGAGCTGGTGTGCTCAAGCTGCTGTGAGTGGAGACAGAGGCAGGGACTTTGCAGAGGAAGCAACATGGTAATGTGCATCTAAGACATTTTAGGGTGGGGAGGGATTATTTTGATAGCAAAAACTTCTAAATATGTAACTTTTGCACACAGACAATGTCGTAGGGGTTAAATCAATGACTAGAAGACGGATTTCAACTGTTTGACACATGATCTGCCACAGCTACGCCAAAGAACTCAAATGCACAACGGAGTTCTCTTTTACTAAACGAAGAGCTTGGAAGGGGATGGGCAAGCAGTGAAATCAGCATGCACAGGAAAAAAATCAGATAATGAGCAAAAGGTAAAGTGCAAAAACAGGAAGGAGGTCAAATCAAGGCAAGATAAAAAAACCTAAACAAACAGGAGCACAACAGCTGGTAAGACATAACAGACAACATGGCAGAGGGCAAGTGCAAGCAGGGTGCTTTTCATTATGCTAACTCATGGTTCCTTGCATCCTCTTACTTCCCGTGACCTGGAAATCACTCCCTTTTTTTTTTGCCGTCATGGAGGTTCTTCCAGTCCCTTAAATGCACCTGAAAGAAACGAGGGGTGAGGAGGTTTCTGGAGGAGCTCAGAGTGAGGAAACACAGATGTATCCCACTTCTCACATCTTTGCTGACAGGAGCTGGGAAAAGATGCGAGTGAGGGGACATGTGAGCATAATGAAAAGCACCTGTGGTAGCAAATGAGGGAATGGGGAACAGAATGGGGAACAGATGAGCAGGTGTTTGTGGGGAATCGGGGGGGGGGGTAGAGCTGGGCAGATGGGAGTGGCTGGATCTAAAATGAAAAGAAGGCGACAGAGAAAAAATGAATACCTGAATGCATTAATCCTTCTTCCACCGCAAACCAGTGTTGACAACATGCTCCTTCCACAACCACACCGCATCCCTGTGATGCACGGATCTAGAGTGACACTTTAATGTGCGATACATCAACGCTGCATACGGCTGCAAGCACCACAGACACTTGACCGCGCCGGCTATGATGCTGGGTGGGGTCAGTGGTGAAACAGATAAACATCTGTGAAGCCATCGGGGCTGGGGATGCTATGTTCTTCTTCCTTTCAAAGGCTGTGGAGAATACTGACACATATACATCTGAAAGTGCACCAAGAAAATGAATCCTTGGTTTGACCCTTAAACGGGCCTCTTCCTCTAAGCTGCTATATCACATGTACGATAGCCCCAAATATACACTCACCCATCCTCTTCTACCGCATGTGGAGCAATTATAGCCTGGTTCTCCAGGTTTAATCCTCTCCTTCACTGGGCCGTAAAGATCTGGCAAAGCTCCAGCTCTCCAAAACAAATCATCCTTCCACCTTCTTGTTCCTTGAGGCCTTTGTAAAGTTAGGAGATCAGACTATACTTAAATCTTAGTTGAGAAATTTGACAAGCCGGAGGACTTTTGGAAATGGCCAAGCGGATTCCTCTTGGTTCTTTATGGAGCTGGATCGCAGCAAAAACATGTTTTTCTTTGTGTGGTGGATATTTCTGGACACTAGAGGTGATATGATAAAGGAGGAACTTTGCATGTTGCTCTGGAGTTACTCCAAACCTAATTCATCCAGACAGTGACTTCTCACTTATCTGGTGTTTTCTCCGACAACCTGAAAGGTCAAAACAAATATATACTTACTGCAATAAATCCTACTTTCATGAAGGTTACAGTGTTTGTTTTCTGTTGTTTTAGGGGAGTGATGATACATGTGGTGCTTTATAGGATAGTACAGATAAGTGTTTCTATTATTTAGCCTTCCTTCACTGATGTAAGTGGGGTGGATAAATAAACAGAAACACCTGCCATTTGTATAATTTAAAAACAACACAAGCTACAACCTCTGAAATGCCCTTACAGTGTAATCAAGTCTTCTCTCAAACAACTGATGTATAGATACAGATACAAACATATATATATAATACAGGTTTAATAGCTCTGGTTGAATTTGATTTTACTGCATTTGTCCTCAGCACTCTAACAATGGATTCAGAAATCATCTTTGGTACCCCTGACCTCAGACAACGTACAGGCTCATTATTAGCTAAATAACATCAAAACTGCAATGCTGTAATTATTCAATGACACTAAATGCTACCAGATTTCCTTTGTGGCTGTTAGTTTTATGTAGTGCTAAAGAACAAAATACGTACAATGTGTGAGTTCAAGGGGACACCAGACCTGTCATTTACCATCACTGGATTGAACCAGGACAAACTTTCCTCAGAGCCACAGAGAGCTCAAAGTGTGCATTCAGATTTTTTATGGAAAAGAGGACGGAGTAGCACCAGGCTGCACGACTATCTGCCAGCAAAACGTCAGCTTGAGTGTCACAGTGCACAATCCAGCAGTATTACAGGACTTGCACATGAAGCAGTGGTCAGAGCGACCCCTGATTCCAGATCTCTGATTCAGAGTTCCTCATTGTTGCTTCATCCCGCCGTGCTGCTCCTCGGCCCGTTACAGCCTGTCCAGCAGCAGCAGCAGCAGCAGCAGGAATGTGGTCGGCTCTCGCCAAACATTATGTCATCAGCAACGACTTCTAGTGAAACAAAGCCAAGGCACGGCTCATGTGTTCAACATGGTTAGAGCGCATATCCAACATAAATGTCTTCAGCATCAGCCAATATCTTCTAAGGCTCATAAATGAAAGTATATTCATTATAATGGAATGCTGCAAATTTAAGGTAGAGTTGAGATGTTTTATGTCAGGTAAAGTCAATTAGTGTCTCAACCTGAATGTGTAGAGCTGAAACAATGGGCTGATTAATAAAGTCTTAGAAAATGAGTTTGCAGCTACTTCAAAAATCTATTTATTGGATGAGCAATATTTTAAAGCAAAAACATTTGATAGTTACAGTTTCTCAGTGTGAGAATTTGTCTTAAGTAGTAACAAACTGAGAATCTTTGCATTCAGAGCTGTCAAATGATTAAAAAAATGCAATGAATGGACATTTCTCACTGTTTTCTTCTTTTCTAACCGACGCTGACACCTACAAGCTTACTGACGAATTATATTCAAATTTAATGCAGCGTTAGATTTGAGTCCATCGCATTTTAAAAAAAGTAATTCACTGCAAAAGACACAGATGGCCTTCAGATGTACGATCTAACAATGAAACAATGAAATCTCCTGCCTCTCCAACACATCGCAAACGCTGCCATCACGACGGATGACACGTTATGTAACTCCCATCTCAGCCCATCCAGCTTGTTGCAGGACTGACTGGGCTATTCTCTGTGAACTGAGAGCATTGTGTCACAACAATTTTACATCTCCATTACCGTGTTTTTTGTCAAACGCTGGTGGGAGCAAGGCCTACACAAAAACTTGTCCAACACACAGGAATATCATTCTGCACGCTGCCTCGCAGCAAAGGTCAATCTCTGAGTAATCACGGTTCACACAAAGTGGGCTGTGAGAGTAACGCAGAGACCTGCTCATCCATGACACCATGAAGAGAGCCGCACATTATAGACGGTTATGTTTAGATCCTTTATGATGATGGGAAGCGCTACTCTGCGAAAGTGACGAATGACTTTGGTATAAATAAACTGGAAAGATACACGAATATCAAAAGAAAGATTGGCAATTGATTGATGGGAACGATTTATCAATTAAAAAAAGGTGATGTTTTACAGATAACAGCTTCTAAAGGGAGGATTTGCAGGTTTTCTGTGTTTTACATGAGTACACCTTTTAGGATTTTAGCTGCTGATTAGTCACAAAACAGTCAATTTATTGATTAGTCCATTGACTAAATTAATGATCAGCTATCTTAGTACTTGTTGAAGCAAAGGTGCCAAACATTTGTTGAATCCGGCTTATTGAATGTCAAGGTTTTCTGTTTATTCACAGCTTTATATCGAGGTGATCTGAACATTTAAGTGTTTTTGGAGTGTGTTTGATGATGTCAGCTTGGGTTTAGGGAGGTTTCTTGATCATTTTCTGACATTTAAAAGTCTAAACAATCAATCAATCTATAGAAAAAAAACAATAAATGACTGATCAATGCTGTTAATAAATGTTGGATGCCTCTAATCAGACAACACAAGACATTTAAAGATATTATTTTTGGCTATTGGAAACCTTTTTACCAACATTTTAGCTATTCAACATGTTAATCGATATTAATAACGATTATCAATTGCAGACCTGGTATTGATCTCAGTAGGATCACAGTGACACACACACACACACATATCTGGTGCAGAGTCTCCTATTTGAGTTTACACACACACACTGATGGCTCTGGCTGCTGCCATTAATCAGGTTATCGATCAGAAAGCAGTTATCGATACGCCACGATCACCAGATGATCAGTGAGACTCACTCTGTGGCTCCGGTGCCGTTGATAGTGTTGCCATCAGGGATCGGGTTGAGTTGGATCGGCTCTGGCTTCCTTCTCTTCTGCATGTTACACACGAGAAGAAGAAATACTAATTTAAAAAAAAACACGAGCTGCAGAAACACGGATGGAAACCCGCAGGGAGAGGCTCAGGTATGAGAACGACGCTGTCAGAGGAGCAAACCGAGCAGAGGTGTCATGAGCTGCAGCCGGATTTTCTTCTTAATGGGTGGATGTGAATGAAACGTCACGACAATATTTACATCGGTCTTCCGGACAGCATGGCTGGGCTTGTTGCAGAGCTCCCTCTGCTGCTGACAGCCTGGAAGACTCGTCCATTCACTGCCCAGCTAGGAGCAGAGTGAATCAAACACTGGAGGCTCTGAGGTCATGTCCTCTTTGTGCTTTTTCATTGATTTTTTTTTTTTTTACAAAATTACAGTTAAATTTCAGTTTGAAGAGAAAAACATTATTTTTCCTTATAAAATAATAAGTATAACATAATCAACCTTTTTATTTGATTGGGTAAGTTTCACATTCATATTGCTAAGATGTCAAAAGAAACCCCATCATTTAGTTCATTTTTAATTGAATTGAAACTTTATTTTGAGTCTCTGTAATATTGTTTGATATTGCCTGCCACTTTATATTAATTTGTATATTATTTTAGTGTTATTATCCTCTTTATCTATTTATTTTTGAATCCCCCTGACCCCATCCTTATGCGTTTATGTCTTTCAGCTACATTTTGGAATGTCTGAATGTTTGTTGTTCCTACTATTATATACTATTCAATGCTGAACTTAATAAAGATTTGGAAGAAAAAAAAAGATTTGGGGGGGGGGTTTCAGCTAGTGATGCATGATGTTAAAACTTCTGGCCGATACCGATATCCGATATTAAGATTTCTGATATCGCCGATAGCCGATATTATCGATGTCAATATTCAATTTTTGTTCACAACGAAAAATGGGTATAAGTAAGCACTGTGAGAAAACTATTCAAAAGAAGCCCATGCCGAATTAGACCACATAGTTGTAACAAAAGTAAAACATATTCTTAACATATTTTAACATATTTAACTTTCAAGTCCAGGACCATTTAAGTGAAAATATCTGTGAAATAGCAGCAAAATCAAACATAGAGACGAAGGCGATAATGTTCGACTATCATCGGTTTTTCACATTGGCTAAATTTGTTCATCGGACCAATACCGATATATCATAAAAAAAAAAATACATCAGCTGATACCGATGTGGTCGCAAATATAGAGTGCATCCTTAGTTTTAGCCACATGAAATTTAAAAAGTAAGACACAACCAGCGGTTGAAGAAATAATCAGGCCCTTCAGTTAAGTAAAAGTACTTAAACAACAATGTAAAAATAATAAAATTACAGTAAGTCAGTCAAAATTCCACTTAAGTCTGCAAAATGCACTCACAATGCAAGTGTTAAAAGTACTTGTTGTGCATACTGCTGTGTGTTTGGGATGACATTCAGTGTTTAATGTCCGTCACACTTTATTTATTTATTTATTGTTTTCAATCGGAATTTTGGTCTCGTTAGACTGAAGAATCTTTAGTCTCTCAAAAGCCTTCTGGCAAACTTAAGATTTATAATGAGCTTTTTAAAGCACAAGCTTTCTCATTGTCACTTTGGCTCTGACGGGTGAAGAACAGGCAACACTTGTTGTATTCACCGTCTCTCCCGTGTCAGCTGCTTCAGTTTGAAACTCCTTCAAAGGAGTCATAGGTGTCTTGGTGGCCTTGGTAGTCACTCCGTTTCTGAGGACAACATGCTCTCATCAGATGTGCCATATTCCGTCTTATTTCTTAATGATGGATGTAAAAGTACTCCAAAGGATATGGATTGTCTTTTAAACGTTCTTGTATCCATCCCCTGACTCACGCTTTTCAATAACCTTTTCAGGGAGCTGCTTAGAGTGTTCAGTTGTCTTCATGGTGTAGTTATAGTGAGGAGTACTGATTCACTAGTGACCTTCCAGAAACTTGTGTCTTTAAACTGCTCTCAGATTCACCAACTGAATAAACTTCTTGTACTAAATCGTTGCACCTGTGTTTAAACAGCTGAGTCACTTTAAAGGAAGTGAATACTTATGCAATCATTCATTTTATTTGTTTTTTTAAAAACTGACATTACTGTGTAAAAATCTGTTTTTTACTTTGACACAAAGGAAAATTCTTGTTTTAAAAAAGCCAAATTAAACTGATTGATATTGAAATTGTTTGTAGACACTGCACAGTTTAGTAGTTGGCAGACGCTTAGTCCTGCTCCCTTCCCAAGAGGTTAGGGATCACAAAATCACAAAATGATTGAAGGAATGGGAATGAAGACAAACAAAATTCTGATGAACAAATACTTTTTGGGGCTGCAAGGTGGAGCGGTGGCTAGCACTGTTGCCTCGAGCAAGAAGGTTGCCAGTTCGCGTCCCGATGAGGACACCCAGGACCTTTCTGCGTGGAGTTTGCATGTTCTCCCCGTGCAGTGTGGGTTCTCTCCAGGTTCTCCGGCTTCTTCCCACACAGTCCAAAAACATGTTGAGGTTAATTGGTGATTCTAAATTGTCCGTAGGTGTGAATGTGAGTGTGCTTGGTTGTCTGTCTCTAAGTGTGGCCCTGTGATAGACTGGTGACCTGTCCAGGGTGTCCCCTGCCTTCACCCTGAGTCAGCTGGGATAGACTCCAGCCCCCCGTGACCCTAGTGAGGATTAAGTGGTGTATAGATAATGGATGGTTTGGGATGTGATGTCATTTATAAGCTTTATGTTTTGTTTTCTTAGGTATGTAATCTGAAAAGTAACTGAAGTGATGGATATTTAATAGACAGATTTCATCATTTTGGGCTGAGCAGTTTGAAACTACATTAGTTTAAAACCTTGAATTAAGATATAATGAAATAAAAAGGATTCAGTATTTTCCAGCAGACGGGTATTCCAGCTGTGAGGGGACGGATTTGAAACATCTTGTGAAATAATATTAAAGACTTCATTTTTTTGTGCCTTGTCAGAATTTTCTGGAAACATGCATTATGGAGCCCAAAGTATCTCTGTCTTCCAACCTGAATGGGAAAAAGTCTTTTCCCAATCACCAGTGAGTTTTGAACTGAGATCCAAAATAAGAAACTCTTTCTTAATTGTAATGTAACTTCAAAATGCAAATTGTGAACACTGAGGAAGAAGTGGCCACATTATAATTAAATACACCTGCATAATCTACTGCGAGTTAAACAGCAGTTGTTAAATTTTATAATCACAAAGTTACAGTGTTCATTTTTTCTTTATTTTTGGTGAAACTGTAAGGATAAATTCAGAAAAATGTTTATTAGTGAAGTTATAGTTTCAGGTAGTGTTTAACTAGAACAGATTATAAGAGGTGTTTATGTACATGATGGGGGCAGAATATATATATAAAAAAATCCATCAGTCTTAATGCTAAAACATTTCATTTCTTTGTGGTAGTATCCAGGAGTGATGGCAAAACAGTTGTACTGGTTTCCATTAGACTGTGCAGGTGTATCTACTAAAGTGGTCACCAACTATTTTAAAATAACACCAGTCATGAGCGATCTGTTAAAGTTGTGTTTATGACATTTCCTCATTATCAGGTAATAGTACAAGATTTTGTATGAGCCAGTAAGTCAGAAATTGTATATTTTAGAGTAATTAAATAAGATGTGAGGTTCAGCTGTTTGACTAAAAGTACCTCTCATCACAACAAAGAGAAAACAAAGCAGCATAAATGCAACTAATCAGACCTTCTTAATTAAGCTTCTTTCATCCCACAATTATATCCTCGCAATACATTTAATTATCCAAAAAATCTGAATAACAATGACGCACCTGGCCCTTCCTCTCATCTTCATGCTGAAATATTATTTTAATGATAGCGCTTCAGGTGCTTTACATTCTTACTAAATGTAAACCCAAGATGTGTTCAAATCAAGAGCAAACAAAGAATTCAAATTACATTCTCATAAGTCGTGTGTTATTATTATGCAAATGATAGTGTTTTATTGCAGGAAACTCATGTGAACACATTTAAAAGACTCTTGATTAATTGAATGTCATTAATTTCTAATTAGGATGGAGTATGTTTATGAACAGTGGAAATTAAGCAAATGCCCTTTAAGTCAAAAAATCTCAAACAAAGCGATAAAAGATGTGAAAGCTGCTGAATCTGGGACATTTACTTGGTAAACCTTTAATATTCATAGCGATTCTCAGTTTTTGTCTTGCTCCCATATTACTCTAAAACAACAACAGCTTCCTCTTTAACAGACAGGCATAGTCAGAGCAGTTTAGGTCATTATCAGCCTTTCAGAAAAACAGTGAAAGCGATGAACATTTCCTTACATATTCTGCCTCTGTTCTACTTGTTTCAGTCCAAAATCACCAAGGGTTCAGTGTCTGATTTCATCCAAAGCAATACCCTCCCCTCTTTAATACTTCCCTTTGTACATTTCGTATCTTTTATTATTGTTGACACTCTCTGTGCTGTTCGGAGGATTAAAAGAAGCTGGTGGTGATTCTTTTTTTATTGTACAAAAGGTCTTATTTCTACAGGAGTTATGCTCAACTGTCCCTTGGCTTTATTTTCTTTTTTCGCTAATGCCAGTGCTTGCTTACACTTTGGTGTATAAAAAATTCAGAGCCCAATGGATTTTAAATTTGACAACGTTATTTTATTAACAAAAATTGATATTGGTTAAAATAAACTTAATGAAAAATGAACTTATTTATTCATATTTTTTTAATGTGATCTTTAGATGTGTGGACTTAACCTGGATGGGTCCCTGGGGTGGGAGGAAAGGTGCTAAATAAGTTATTATGAAATGCACTCATTCGGAGCATGCTGCAGACTAATAATGTTGCTTAAAAAGTAGTAGTGAGTGCTGATCTTTACCTTGTGCCTCTTTCTTCTCAGCCCCTCTCTCTGCTCAAACAACTCACTATAACAAGAACCACAACTTGTCTAAACCTTACCCAAACTTCACAGTGAGTCCTCATGGGAACCAAATAAGGCTAGCGTTACAGTTAGGAGTATGTGAAGAAATGGCAGAGTTCGATCGAAGCAAATTTTGTTATCACAGGGAGAACACAGGGCTGTGTGCAGATGTCTGCATACCCTTCAATTTGTTGTGGCCCCACCG